AATTCCCCAGCCAGCCATGAAGTCCACTCATCTTAAAGTGGCCAAGTTTGGACAACACTGCCTTAGCCAGAAGCCTGCCACGGGCAAGGCTCTGCCCAACCAGGGGTGTGAATAACGTACTGCTGATTGCCTATTGCTTGCTAATGATCAGGTGCTTTGGTTTTTACCAGTGTATCCAAACAATGCTAATTTGTGTATTGGGACTCTCCATTTGTGACTTGGAGTGCCTCTTGATTGCTGTACAGAATAAACAGGTTGCAATTTCTCCACTTGTGTGTGATTTTGGCTCTTCGCACCAGGTGGAAGGAACCCAGCATTTGACTCGGCCAATCCATCCCTTGGCCAACAAGCCTGCTGGCTGGGGGATTCTGGGAGTTGAAGTCCACACATCTTAGAGTTGCTGTGGTTGAGAAACACTGGCCTAATCCATACAGCCTTAGACTACAGTAGGTTCTGACAACCGAAGGGAACTGCCAGCTCCCCAACCCTGTTTCTGTCTGGCCCAGCCACTTGTGTGAACCCAGCCAATAAGCCATGGGTGCGTAACTCTTTTGAGCACAGTAGAGACACCATCCTCATTCTTGATTTTCTGATCAACCAAGGAGTTGGCCACTGGAAGAGAGCTGTCCCTTGGACAATCTCTAAGGGTTAGTCAACATGGCCCTCCCAAATATCCGCAGGATATTTCAAAGGAGGAAACGCACAACATGATGTCACTGCACACACATCCTCCTGTTCACATCAATGATTATTAGAATCTCGGCTTGCTGTGGACTAACCCACCCACTCAACAGGAGCTTGCTTGGGTTCTCGTGGAGCTTCCTGGTGGGAAGATCTGGACTGGGAAGACAAATTCTGGAATGAGACTAGACTAGGGCACGTGTTCCTGCAAGGTGGTCCTTCTTGTGTCAGGCTGAACGTGGGGTCACAGCAGAACTTATGGCAGTGTTGTCCAAACTTGGCCACTTTAAGATGAGTGGACTTCCATGCTGACTGGGGAAT